AATAGTCAGAAAGTGAAAAAGTCTCATCCAGAAAAAGAAAATGAATAATATCTTTATAAGCAGAAAACCAACCGCTTTTAAAAATCATACGCAAAAGCCTATGCACTTAATGCCTCTCTGTATTCCCTAAATACACTGGGAAAAGAGGATTGGGCAGGAATTCTGGAGAAAGCCCACAGTTTGTGACCTACAGTTATATTGTGAAATGTTTCTATGTCTACTGAATGACCCTGATTCCATGAGGACCATCTGATGTGGGCCCAAGTCATAGCTGGAACACAAACAGTTGGTTCATGTTCACTAAAGTCAATAATCAAGGGAGGACAGAATACAGTGTTGCAAAGGTCAGCAATAACTCCCAGCTGCAGGGCCACTGTGACGACCTCTGGGGAACAATTCTGGATTCTGGCCAAGATATTAATTTAGCCCTAACCATCAATGCCCGGGGAACTGTGAATTAATGGACAGCTGGGAGCTCATAAGACTTAAGGGCCTCCAGAGGGTCCTTTTAGCCAGGTATATCCCCCAGGATGTGTTTGTGCAAGGGTCACAGTGGACACCAAGGGCAGAAGAGTTGGGACAAAATATTTTTGTAAAGAGAAAACTTTGTATTTCCTAAATGTCCTAGGTTCTGTCTAGGACATGAGATTTTCCACATTTGCTTGACTATCCACATTTTTCTTTTCAACTTTTCAGTCTTTACTTGTACTAATTGTTGTGTAAAACCAATAAATGTGAAAAATTTTTCAATCTTACAAAATTCCATATTGAGAATAATGAGATACAATTTATTTTCTACTTTATTGGCAATGACAAAAGCAATGATCACAAATTGACCAAACTCAGTAACAAGGAGGTCCTGGTGAAAGGACTTCTCATTCAGGAATGGCAGGGTTGCATATTAGTAGAACTTTATGGAAGGATGAGTGGTAACATGGTAGTGTCGACAAAATGTAAAATGTATGGCTACTTTGACTCACTAGTTCTTCTTCTAGGCATTTATTCCAAGGAGATAATTAGACAAGTGCTCCAAGATTCACATAGAAAAAAAATGTTATTTATAGAATTACTAATAATACCAAATATTTAGAGACAACTGAAATAGCTACAAAAATACTATACAGATAATTGTATAATGAGAGAACAAATTCATGTTAACCTACTTAAAAGGACAGTGTGACCTGTAAGCCATAATGTGGAACTTTCTCCAGGTTGTTCAGTGATAAAAAGGCTTTCTGTCCATAAGCTTGTCTGTGCATTGCTCTGTGCAAGCATTGCACAGGGAAATGCCTAGAATGAATGTCACCAAATCGTTGGCGCATCGCGGCTCCTTCTGGGTGGTAAGATTTCAGGTGATTTTTTTCTTCCATTTTTTGTTTATTTGTATTATTATTTATTTTCATAATGAATGAATAATATCTTTATAAGCAGAAAAACAACTGCTTTTAAAGATCAAAAGAAAACATCTATAGAATACATAACTTCCTGGAGAAAAGGCAGGGCTAACACCAAAATAATGATTGACTTTCAGAAAGGAAATGTGGAGGGAGTTTGAAACCTGCTTGCTAGCCTTGCACAAAAATATTAGTCTTTCCAGTCTTGAAGAAGGAAGGAAGGTCCAGTGGTGAGAAGTGTGTGCTTCAGGGTCAGTCTGTGGGTCCAAATGTCAGCTCTATCTATCACTTATTAGTATGAACAACTTGGTACAAATATGTTAACCTTCTGTGCCTCAGTTTCCTCATTTACAAAATGGGGAACTGATTGTACCTGCCTCTAACAGTGTCATAGGATTAAGGAAGAGAGTAAATGAAACACACCAATCACAATGCCTGGCACATAATCAGCATACTAAACATTAGTTCTTATGAAAACCAGCCTGTGTGAGTTATTGTTCCCAGAATGAGTGCTAACGAGCAGTTAAGAAGAAGGCAAAAGATAATTAGTCAAGGAAACCGCAAAAGTAGACATATAAATATCTAGGCTCTGCAGTACAAAGATGAAGAGTATGAGCTGCATGTTTTTAGCATGTGACCATCTCATAAACTTCAACTGCTGACTCTGCAAAATGGATAATGTGCAGAAGGTCATTTTGAGGATTAAATGCCAGGTGCTAACATAGCACTTAACAGTAAGATTTTAATACATATTTGCTACTGTTAATGAAAATAATTTATGTTATGGACTAGGGAATTGGGTACTGAGCTCCCCATCATCACAGGTATCCAGGCAGGCTTAATTATTATTTGAGGAGGAACATGCAGAAAGGATTTAGTCAGGGACTGAGGAAATTGATTACTGGATTCTCCCAGACCTAAGGTTCTACAGTCATTGAAACATAGAACCAATTTTAAAAGTTGGATTGTTTGGAATTTTTGTGTAAAGCGACTCAGGAGCAGTAGGTTCATCTCCTCAGGGAGGTATGTGACGATGCCACTGTCAGAAGCCAACCCTGCTTTTCAAACAGGCAAGGCAAATGAGGAGTCACTCGCTCATGAAACTGCTCATTCTGTCCCATGATTGCTCTACCTGATCTGGAAAAGCTACAGATGGTGGTTAATCCACCACTGGGACTCACGGAGCTCCCTGAGCTTTGCTGAAAGCTATGGTCCCTCTCCCCAGAAATAGCAAACCACACACACCCTGGCATTCACAGTAAGAAGCCCTGGCTGCAGGTGATTGCAATAGTGATAACAGCAATGGTAGGAAACACCCACAGATTGTGTGCCAGGTTGTGGGCTGAGAGCTTTGCACACATTATCGTACTGACTTCTCATCAGACCCATGCATTTGTATCTATGTTACGTCATCCCCACTTTACAGATTAAAAACACACAAAGTCCTTCAGCCAGTGATGGGCAGGGTTTGAATCCAGTTCTAAGGTACACTTAGAATGTGAGCAGTAGTTTGTTGTAAGGGTTGATGACTAGTTGACAATTCATTAGCATTTTAGATGAATCCAAGTCTCTTCCAGGACCTGCCACACAGTCTCTGAGCCTCGATGGATTAGCTGGACTGTCTCAAGGCATGTAGGAGCAGGAAAAACCAAAGTTTCTATGAGCATTATCTAGCAATTCTTAGGGAAAGCAGAAGTATGATAGACAAAGTTTAGGCTGCACTCACAATGAACAACCCAATAGTATGACGGAAAATGTTAGTAATAGTCTCCATTTATGGAGCAAAGGTTTCTAACTGTATGCTAAGGCTGGCTGGTGATATAGTTTGGCTGTGTCCCCACCCAAATCTCAAACTGTAGGTACCATGATTCCCATGTGTAGTGGGATGGACCTCATGGGAGGTAATTGAATCACGAGGGCAGGTCTTTCCTGTGATAGTGAATAAGTCTCACAAGATCTGCTGATTTTATACAGGGGAGTTCCCCTGCATATGCTCTCTCTCTTGCCTGCTGCCATCATGTAAGATGTGACTTTGCTCCAGCTTTGCCTTCTGCCATGATTGTGAGGCCTCCCCAGCCACATGGAACTGGGAGTCCATTAAACCTTTTTCTTTATAAATTACCCAGTCTCAGGTATGTCTTTATTAGCAGTGTGAAAACAGACTAATTCAACTGACTTCTAAGACAGACTACTTTCTCGGAGCCATCCAAATACTTGTGGGTTATTACTTTTATTTTCTTTAAAAATCCCCTGTCAACTCAGAGAGCCTTAGAACTCTCCTCATCTCAGTGCCACTGTGATCCCTCCGACTTGCAGCAAACCCTCTGGTTTGCTTTGCCATGGCAAGGCCAGCAAGCAGTTCCCTGCATCTCTCCAGATCTGAAAGGGTCTTTTACCCTTGTCCTTACAACTGTCAACATATGAGGCAGAACCCAAAAGGGCAGAGTCATAACCTCATGGTTAAGAATGTGGATTTTGGAATGAGAGACACCTAGGTTCAAATTCTAGCTCCTTTACTGAGTACTTACCCTCTCTGAGCTTCAATTTCCCCATACGTCTAAGGCAGATAATGGCATGTCACGGATTTGTTGTAAGTAACTTTAGGTAAGTTACTTATCCTTTCTGGGCCTCAGTTTATTCAACTCTAAATGGGGACAAAAATATTATCTAGCCTTATAGAGTTGTGCGTGATTAATAAATAAGTTATGGCTTGGAAAGTGCTTAAAACAGCAGCTGTCACATCAGTTAGTACTCAGTAAATATGAGTTATTCTAATTAGCACATGTAAAGTTCTCAGCATGGTAAAAGTATGTGTTCAATAAATGGTGGCTATCATTATTATGAGGAAGCTGTTCCTCAGAGAAATTCCTGCACATTTATCTCCTGGAAAGCAGTAAGATATGAAGACATCAGGGGAAAACCTTGTCCTTAAGTCAATGTTGCAGTCATAGCAGAACGAGTCCACAGGTCTTGTTGCCCTAGCAGGATACCCTAGGACCTCCACCCCTCCTCATGCCCAGGTTCTCCCTTGCTTCAGAAGTACCTGCCCTTTATCCAACCATCCACTCTTTCAACAAATTCTCCTTAAGCACCTATAGTGAGCTTGAAAGAGGGCTGGGAATGCTCAAGCAGTGAAGGAGATGGTTCCAGCCTCTGCCCTCCTGGAGTCTACAGGGTAGTAGAGGAGATGCACACTAAATAAATACATACACAAATACTCATTTAATAACAGCTGCAATTTATGTTGTGAAAAATGTGATGAGGATGTACAATGGGCCCTGATGTGGTCAGGCACCGGATATGTGAGTAAGGTGGAGTCATCGTAAAGGGTCCCTGAGAAATTGCTGGGACTTGACAGATGAGTAAGAGTTGGCCAGGTGATGTGTGGGAGTGGAGACAGAAAAGGGTCCAGGCAGACAGGCATTTTGTTCCATGGCCCTGCACCCACAAAGTGCCTGGCTCACAAGGAGAACAGTGAGAAGGGCCACGTGGTTCACTTCTAGATCCTCCACTCAAAATATTCAGCTAGGAAGTTGGAATTTGAAGAGAAACCTAGGTCCACAGAAACTGCCTTCTCAGTGGTGACTGTTGTCTCTTCCCTTTCAGGTACTCCTCGCCTGCTTGAAGATTGGCTTGTCTTAGACCCCAGCCCTTGAGGCCAAGCAAACATACATCATCCTGGAGGCTGCAGACATAGCTCACTGTGCCCACATGTAAACTTCAGCCAAGACACCACGACAGGGACTCTGCCCACTGAATGCCCTATGATTCCTCAATCCTGTCCTCGTCATATCCCACAGGGTTTTGTGAGGCTATTTAGGAAGATAAGTTTTCTTCACTGAAGAAACGAGAGACAGCATGAAAGAAAACAATGGCCCCAAAGGAGGAATTTGTGATTGACATAAATGGGAGTGTTCCCTTGGGAGCATCATGTATCATCAAAAAAGCAAACCCCCAGGTCATTTATTTCTCCACCTATTTACCTGCTATGAAGAGAAGATGTGTTTAAGTTTCCTACAGTTTACACTGGAAATTAATGCTCTGGGAAAAAAAAGCTGTATATTCTAGATGTAGCAGGTTTCTTTTGGAATTCATTCACTGGGAGTCTGGCACCACCCCCTAAATGGTACTTTTGTTGTCTTTTTATTCAAGACGGCCAGCTTCTCCCAAGATCAGAACCACGTGCCAGCCTCCCTTGATCAACAGCCTCCCAGCATTCTTGGTAGATCAGATGTTTAGTAGTTAGCCTAACTCATTTGTTTTTCCAAGTAGTAATTATGACTACAGTGAATTAATATTTTAACTGCAGGGGAAGCATTACAGATAGCTCCTATGTAGACTCTAGAGGCTGGGAATGGCCAACGGGATTTCCCATACTAAAAGAAGAGGACTACTCCAACCTGGCCAGCAGTTCTCTATGTCTGAGATGCCATCATTAGATACTACTCCAAAGACCTAAAGGAGATGTGTCTAGGAGAAGTGTATGGTCCTGGTCCTTACCACTGAGGCTCAATGGCCCAGCAAAATATGAAAGTGAGACCTGTGCTTCTAAAGCGCAACAGCCTAGAGTCAGTGGAGTTTGTGAAACAACCTCACCACCGCAGGAGCAAATCCCAGCAGGTGAGATTCAAGGAAGATGCGACCACTAAGAATCCAACTGGTCTAGCTGAGGTTGACGTCCAAACTCCAGAAGACCTGGCTGTGATGGGGAAGACTCAAGCAACCAGGCACCATCATCCCCCGACCTATTCGCTCTCCTTCCCCAGGTCCCAGAAGGCAGGGGACTTTCGCAACATTGCGATCCAAACTTCCCCCAGTCTCAGGAAGCATTTCCCAGTTTTCAAAAGGAAGAAACTCACAGCCAGCAAGTCCCTGGTGGAAATGCCGACAGCATCCCAAAGTGCCATCCAGGTCAACGGCAACCTCTCTGAACAGGACATTGTGTCTTCTGACCTAGCCTACTTAAGGTTGGCTCAGCATCTTGAGGATGGTCCTCGAAGGGTCAAGGTGTCCCACACATTCCTCCCGAGGGTCCCCAAGGTGCAAAGCAATGGACCTGTTAGCATATGCTTGGAAGCAGGAACTTGGAGGTCCTTAGAGAAAGCCACAGCTGCCATTCAGGTTCCAGATGATATTTATCACAGTCCTTCCTGGGAAGCTAGAGAGTCTGCTGTCAGCCCAGACAAGTCAGCTGAAGTAAGTAACTCCATACGCCCTTTGGACAACACATGTCCAGGTGGTGGGAGAAGGGTGACTCCACCAGATTCAGAAAAATCCACCTCCTGCTTAAATGCCACCAGCGGTGCCAGCCACACACCAGGAACAGAGAAACTTAAACCTGAATTGCTTTTGCCCAAAGACAACTCAGATGACAAAGACCTTGGTTCACTGTCATCTCAGTCAAAGGAAACATGTATTCCTTCACCTCCACGGACTCACAGTTCCCCCTCACCAGGCTCCCACAGCCAGCCAGCCCACCCAGGAAGAACCTCAGACTCTCCTTCATCAAGTAATAGTCACGAGAATCTGTTGTCACTCAAAACTAACAGTACATCAAAATCTGCCCCTGGGTGTCAGGAGCAGATGGCAAACAACCCCACCCCTCCAGAGTCAGACACCCGGGAGTTTCCAAATTGTCCAGGAAGTAATCACCTGCCATCCTTTCTTCCAAGGAGTGAGACCAAACTTCAGAGCAACAGGGAGATTAGTGACATTAATGAAATTCACCTGGCACGGGGTGAACTCTGCGACCTCCAAGGCCGGCTGCAATCTGTGGAGGAATCTCTGCACTCGAACCAAGAGAAAATTAAAGTCCTATTGAATGTAATTCAAGACTTGGAGAAAGCTCGAGCTCTCACTGAAGGGTAAGGGGATTTTTTTTTTTTCCCATATTAAAAATGACTGGGTGAAGTCATCTGCCAACACAAGAGCAGATACAGCATTGGTATCGTTAGTAAAAATGTCTCCAAAATGTTTGAAGTACTGTTGTTTCCACAAATCATAATGGCAGACCTTCCCTTTTCTCTAAGGGAATTTCATTTAGTTCTAGGCTTTGGTGAATTTTTGTGGATTTCTACTGCTGTTTATTTTCATTTTCAGGTGTTAGCAGAATAAGGAAAGGCAGCAGTGAAGCAGTAGGATCAAAAATAATTTTTATGAAGATGAGAATTCCGTTGATCCATGATGGAGGGAAGTGATAGCAGGAAGGCACTTCCCCAGCCCCTTCCTCTTAGCAAGTTACTGCATTTGCACAGTATTTCCGTTCTTTGTGTCATTGTGACAAAGGACTTGAGGTGGCCATTCAGTTTATTATTGACCTTCCCCTGTAGGACCACTTTGATGACTCGGGGTGGTCCATCAATAACCAACTAATTGGAACTGAAATGAGATCACAATTCCTTTTGCACAGTTCATTTTCCAAAAAGAGAAAAAAGTCACAAAATGCTTTCCTGGGTGACTCAGCACCAGTATAGGAGGAAAAGACAGTTATTTGTTTAGATGTGAAATGCTCGTCCCTCTAGAAAGTGCTCTCTAAAGACAGAGAATAAGCAATGGTTAAAGCACATCAAAAAGGGTAGGAGAGAGAAGTAATCAACTGGCGTTTGCTGTATGAATCAGAATCAACACTGCCATATAAGAGAGAAACACTGTGATGATGCAGACAGAAACGTGCTGAACTAAGAGGTCAGGATTTTTAATAATCTCCCTTCTACTCACTTGCAAAATCCCTCATCTCACAGGATTGTTGTCAGCATGAAAAAATTCTCAGGTTGGGAAGTCTTTAAACATGTATAAAGCCTTCTAGAAATGTGAGCTCCTATTGCTATGACTTTCTTGTTTCCTTATTTGCAATGGTCATGCAACTTCAGAGCACTGTGAATCCTGTGCTATAGGGACTAAGGAACCAGTAGGTAGAATGTTTGTGGCCCAAGTGGCTTTTGCCCATAGATTTATCCAGCAAATGCTCTGTCTTGCAGGCGCAACTTTTATCGAACTGGCCAAGATCTCAACAATTGCAGTACCTGCCAGAACACGGCGTGCATCATATACAGGTACCTGGCCACAAGTGAGGCCTGCTCTGTAGACCACAAACCATAGGTTCCACTGAATGCTCTAGCAAACTCTTAAATGCAGAAAGTCAAGAGAGAGGCAAAAAATAGGAGGCCTTTGAATAGCTGAGACTAAAATAACAAGGTATTTAACTATGAAATGTTAACATCTGGTTCCAAGGCAGGGACTGTTTTGTTTCCTCACAACAAAGTCTATGAACATACCCTTTGAATGTGATCATCCCTACACTTATCAAACACCAAGTGCAGGCATCATGGTAAGCTTGGCATGCACATTTGCATCTCATTCCACCCTCAGGAAAGTTAAGCCATTTGGTCTTGCTCACACAGAGCATTTTCTGGGAACAGAAAGGGCCAGACTCAGGACTCACATCCAGATTTTTCAAATCCCAAACCTGTGATCTTGATTATTCCACCACACTGCTTCTTCCTCAACAATAGCTATCCCATGCCAAGCACTTACTTGGCACAGTCAAGAACTGTGATAAGAACTTTATGTTCATTTCTAAGTATGTCATTTCCTTCTAGCACAGAGTAAGTTTGCTGCAGTAGATTTTATAAGTGACAAAAGGGAAACATGATATACAGTGTAAAGTTGGAGTCAAAGATCTGTGTTTTGATCCCCCAGTCTGACATCAGCTAACTTAACCTAGGCTCACACTCCTTATCTGAATAGGGAACAAATTATCCCCATTCAGGGTTGCCATGAAGACCAGATGAAATAATCTATGTGAATGTCTTTTGTAACTGCAAACCTCTGCACAAATCCAAGGGCTTATACCTGTTATTACTAGAAACTATGCCACTATGCCACTTTCAATGGCATAGCAGAAAAGTGGTCAAAAGCAGTCATTTCAGTTGATGACATCTCATTTTGTTGACCAAAGTGAACAATTTTGCTTTCTCTATTATATTTATCTTTTTGCTGAAAACTGGCAGTTCAGGGCCTGAGCAAATGGGAGCCTAATTGGGCTGCCTATGTCTTCTTTTAAAACTTCTCATTCTCTCTGGCAGAATCCTGAGATATCATTGAGTAAGAGACGATGTGTCTGGAAGGCAGGAGGTGTGTGTACTTAGGCAAGGTCTTGAGCAACTTTTCATTGAACCTATCAGCTCCTTACAAAGAGGAGCCACCTATTTTTATCAAATAACAGAAGATTCAGGAAAGATAAATGCCTTTCATCTTAATGTGAAGTCTTCCTTCAAAAAAGGGGTTCTTGAAGAGCTCTACAGCATTGGAAAGTTTAAGTAGGAAGTTTCATCAGTTGCTCTCTTTTTAGTGCTTCTTTTTTTACAACTCTTCTCTTGAGCAAAATTTCTAATCATTAGGAGGACACAAATTATTAAACGTCTAGACAGAGAGGACAAAACTCTTCAACATAAACAAGAAGAATTAATTTGAACTAACCTCCATTTAAATCTCAAATAGTCCTTTTTCTTTTCCACAGCCAGATGATGTATTTTCTATTACCTTAAAATGATTTTTTATTTGGTCTATCGAAGTAAAAAGGGCAAGTGGTGATTTCCAAGTCTACTATGAGTTTCATGACCTGGCCTTGGGCAAGTCATTTTCCTTATCTGAAAAATGAGGGTCTTTAATTAGATGGTCCCAAGAGTCCTTTTTAGTTCTGACATTCTGATATTCTAAGCTAAATTAAAAGTGACAATATTTGGCTAAACTATGACCTTCCAAGAAGTCTGAGAATGTTTGCATTTTTCTAGCACTTACTTCAAACATCTTGAGCAAACATTCTAAATTAAGTTACACCCCTGGATGGGTTAGCAAACCTTCATGCATACCTTACTTTCCAGAAGAACAGCAACAGTATGCATATATCCCTCATTACCATTCAAAGCCAGACTCTTCTCCCAGACAGAATCTAAGCCATTGCGAGGGAACCCTTGTATCTAAGCCATTGCCAGGGAACCAGCGATTAATTTGATGAAAGCAAAGAGATCTCAACAACATCCCCATTGTATTAACAGTGGGAAGATGAGAGTTGTCATTTTCTTAAGAAAACATTTCAAATGACTTCAAACTTGCTTTGTGTCCTGGAAAGTCAGATCTTAGACACAAATGAGTAAGTGATGTGAAATACTCATCCCCAGGCCTTGTTAAGCTGCAATCTCTCTCTGTGATGATGGATGTGCTCAGTGCATGTCACTGTACATAAAGCAGATGGGCATATGATGGATTGCCTGCTGGGTCTTCTTCTCTGGAGATGCTGCTGCTAAGTTAGCCATGCATATGGTTTCCTAAGTGGTATTTCCCAGAGGGTCCACCAGCTGGCGGCTATGGCTATGCTGCTTGCTCCTATCAAGACATGTGGGGTCATCCGGTTCTATCTAACTCATTCTTTCTGCTCCCTAAGCCTCCTTGGCTCTCCTCTTACCATTGAACACTTGGATACATCCTATCTCCCCAAAAGCAGAGCCCCAACACCAATACCTAGATATTCTATGCATGGCTCTCGGGAACTTGCAGGGAATTTATACATGAAAGTGAATGGAATCTCTTGTTTTGATTGCTGTAGACTCCTTGAGAAATGGGTGGCAATTGGCTCTAAACCACAAGTGATTCCAGGCTGTTAGGACCCAATCACTCCCTTCACTTCTCCTTAGCATTAATCCTAGCACAAGTTACCTAAAGGGTTGAGTGAATGCCACCATAGTACCCAAGATTAAATAACATTAAATTCCTTAGCAAGAAAGTTGTTCTCTTTTCAAATTTGTTTCAATCATTCGAACGACCTAGAGGGGAAAATCGGGGTTTGGCACTAGAATATCTTTAAAACCTTCCTAATGCTGGCTTATCACATTTCTCTGCAAAGAGAGAGCAGGTCTCAGGTTCACAGCCCTGGGCAAGCAATAGTTATCTAGCTACTTATTTTTATTGAAAGCTTTCACTTTTAAAACTAGTCCCTTTAAATACTTTTTGTAATAGATGCAGGTCTGCATTTCCAAAAGTGGTATTGCCTCTTTTATATAAAACAGGTTTTTAAATTTAAAAAGTGAATAGATTCGGAGAAAGAAAGTAAAGTGAATAATTGTGTAGATAGCATGGGGAATCTTGCAAAAACCATGAAGGTGCAGAACAAGCGATTGAAGTTTGGGAAACGGTGCCCTAATGAATTGGCTACTTTTCCTTTTCCCAAGGGCATGAGGTCTCTCTAAGCCTCTTGCTCCTCTTTCTCCCACCCTACGTCTCTACTTTTCCAGCCATATCTCCAGCATTCATCTTTACATTCACGCTAAAAATGGTCAGTAGAGCTTCTTTAGAGGTCTCTGACTACATAGATCATGCATTTCTTTTCTAGACATAACTCCTAGGAAAAAGCTACTTGGTTTAAGTTATAAAATGTCTCCAATATGTTTTAAAGGAAAATAATAAGAGGTCTTTCCCAGAAAATTTTTCATCTACCATCCAAGCATGCTGCTCAGGAATTAGAAAGACAGAGTTGCAAGCTTATCATTTTCAGTGGGTGAAGAGAAAGGTCGACCATGTAGAATTTGAAAGGTGCTAGAGAAGTGAGAGAAATAGAAGAGCTATTGTTTGTCCAGGATCTACCTGGACAGGCTGCTCCTCTTCTTATTCTTGGTCTCTTCCCATAACCTCAACTGCACTCATGGACTTCATTTCCATGGCACCACTTTCCACCATCTTGTATCTGATATCTACATCAATCTATCCTTATCCATCTATCTTTCATCTACCTATCTAAAATTTTCAACCAATTGCATACAGACATTTCCACTTAATATCCCAAGGCAACTCAAATTTGTCATATCACCAAACACACCTATTTCACCACAAAATTAATTTTCTTCCCATATTTCTTACTTTGTTTAACACCATTGACCAAGAGGCAACTCCATAAAGATATCACAGTCCCCCGTGACATACTCTTTTTCACCAAATACACCAAATAAGCTACGGATTCCAACTGTTCAATCCAACCCCTTCGCTCCAATTCCTCTGCCTCAGGTTCAAAAAAAGGCTCTCATCATTTGTCACTTGAATGCTAATTGATCTTTGGGACGCAGATCTCTTTTGCCTTATCTCGAGTAATCCTCCCTGCAGATTGCTAACTTGCACCTGAAGAGTAGAATCTGACCATGTCATTCCCCTGCTAAACAATCTTGTCCTGGTTTGGTTAGTCTGGGGCTCCCCTCCAGCTATGGGGAGCCAGGTGCTCAGCTGGTGGCTCCGTCAGGCCTCGGTGCCTTTGGATAAGTTCCCTTGCTTTCTTGGGATGTCTTTTCTGCCCTGCTTTATCTGGATAGTTCTCAGTCTTGCAGCTTAAATGTCAGTTATCTGGATAATCTTACAATCCTTCCCCAAAAAGACCCCCATGCCATGAGCCCTCCTCTGCTAGGTCGCTGATCCTATTGCATTGTAATGCAGTGTTTATGAGTTCCTTTCCTTCAGCAAATGGTTAGTCTCTCAAAGTCATAGATAAGTGTCTCATACATAGTTGGTGCTCAGTAGGTTCTTATTAAATAAAGAAATGACTCTACTGACTAGGGGAGGAAGGAAAAGCAGTAGTGGACTTGAGACAGCTGTTTAGATTGTCCAGAAGTAAAGTCATTGTTACCATTTGTGTACACCTCCACCCTTGGTTGGGGAAATGAAGGATTAAGCAAATATTCTTATTAGGAAGGAGGGTTTCTATGTAGCTGGTTCTCAACAGATCTTCTTAAACTGAATGTAAGCACATGGATTGCTGGTTTAAAAATAACTGGAACGCCACATACTTTCAACAAGGGAGAACCTTTTTTGATAACTGAGAGAGTTTGCTGCACTTTCATAGGACATGGAAACACTTGTTTCCCCAGGCCATCTGACATTATTGCCCAGGACTTCTGTCCTGGCTGTGGTGGGAAAGGCAAAATTTGACTGTGGGGAATCACAAAACTCCCTGCGGGTGAAAATAAATCCTTTCTCTGATGTGTGAATTGTCCCAGTGATCTCTTTGGGAGAAGGAATTAGAACATCAGATCTTCAGATTCTCTTGCTAAATGTCTAATGTTAACTATCAAAACCCAGGCTTGTAGGCACACTAATACCTAAGAAGACGACATCCTAACTCATGGACCCTCTGCATATGTGACCTTTTTCGGCAAAAGGGACTTTGCAGATGAGATTAAGCAAAGGACTTCAAATGAGGAGAGCAGGGTGGATAGCCTGGGTGGGTTCAGTATAATCACAAGGACCCCAGAGTAAGATGGAAGGCCAGAGGATCAGAGAGAAGGAGATGTGATGCCAGAAGCAGAGGTCAGACAAGCCAAGGAGAGTGGCAGCCCCTAAAAGTGAGAAAAGACAAGGGATGTGTTCTCTCTTAGAGCCTCCAGAAGGAGCACAGCTCTGCTGACACCCTGATTTGCAGCTCTGAAGGACTTCTGCCCTCCAGAGCTGTAACAGTGAAATCTGTGTGGTTTTAAGCCCCTAAATTTGCAGTAATTTCAACAAAAGGAAATGAGTACACTCGGATTAAATCCTCCTAATTGGAGGACAGTTTATTTGACTTTAATTGATGATGTTTACAATGATAACATCTGAGGAACGAGATCTGTTGGGCTGAAACTTAAAGAAAGAAGAGCGCTACCACTTACTGAGGATCCATTATTTACTGATCATTTGAAGTACCTTTTGTTTTCACACTTAATCCTCACAACTATGAGATCAATTAAAGTACCCCCATGTTACAGATGAAGGAACTGAGGCTCAGGAAGGGTCAGACGCTTGCTCAACATTCAGATTAGGCAAGTTGAGAGAGGTGAGGCACTTGCACAATTATTCTGGAAATAGTAATTGCAACGGCCACAGCAGAAAACAGTTCTGTCTTTCTGCAAGCCAGATTCCATAGCATGCTGCCTTCCAGATGCCAGACTCATCTGATGGATATTAGGGCTTAGTGGAATGTTCGACACTGAGTTCCACTCAGCCAAGGGCATCATGAGGGTTTACACTGAAGATACAGGCCCTAGACAGTGCTCCCAAAGGGTGGTCATGGACCATCTGCATCGAAACCTCCTGGGTGTCTGTGAAAACTGGTTGCTGAGTTTCAGCCCCAAAGTTACTAAATCAGAGTGTGTGGGGTGGAGGATGGGAATCTGCAGTTGCAGCAAGCTCCCTGGGAAACGTTGGTTCGAATAAAACTCGAGGGGTTTTTTTTAGGTAAAAAATTGGGGTCTTGAAAAGAGATAGTTGATTTACTAGAAACTTTTACAACAACCAGCCCATGAATAAAAAATACTTGCTTGCAAAATAGCCTGGAAACTAGCTTTTGTTCTTAATACATCTGCTTGGCTTTGATCTTAGGGCTAGATGATCATATATAGACCTAATTATATAAGTTGGATACAAGTGAGAATGGAGGCAAAGGAGAGGGAAGGAAGAGAAAGGAGAGGATTATTCATGGAGCAGGCATATCTTTTGATGCCTCCTATTTCCAATGAGAAGAGAAAAGGAGTCCCTCTCAGGCCACTCTGGGGCCCAGGCTTATATTATGCAATACTTAGGGGATTCAGCTGTAGCCTTTTCTTCCTTCCACAACTCTCAGCTCCTCAGGCCTCATCTGAGATCAGAAACTGATTGGCAATCCAGGCCAACATTTTTCCTCCAATAAAGGTTGAGAGTAATTAAACCCTAATTCTGCTCCCTGGCCAAGAGACCAAATGCTAAGAACCGCCCTCTGGTGAGTCCTAGAGGATCAACAGCAGACATGTGTAAAAGGTGGGTGTCCAAGTGCTGACCATTACCTCTATATCCCCACATCAGGACAGGGGTATGGTCATCCCATGCTTGGGAACCAAGGACCATGCGTGAAGCTAAATACCATGCAGAATCTGCCACCACCACCTGCTCATTTACTCAGACTCCACAGTTCATGGTTTTTCTTTTTTTTGAGACAGAGTCTTGCTGTCGCCTAGGTTAGAGTATAGTAGCATGATCTCTGCTTACTGCAAACTCCACCTTCCAGGTTTAAGTGATTTTCCTCCCTCAGCCTCCTGAGCTGCAATTACACCCAGCTAATTTTTGTATTATTAGTAGAGATGGGGTTTCACCATGTTGGCCAGGCTGGTCTTGAACCCCTGACCTCAAGTGATCCACCCACCTCGCCTCCCAAAGTGCTGGGATTACAGGTATGAGCCACCACGCTCGGTCACTTTTTTTTTAAATCATTATTAATGTGTCCACTCATAAACTCTTCTGGACCAGACAGAAGGACTTACGGATTTTGAAAAGAAGATTCTCTGCAAGAGACTCTCTTTGAACCTAGCAACCAGCATTCTCATTCCTAGCATGTCCCCCTCACAGTTTTCACATTCAGATTACGACAAGAAGGCTCCCTGGAATACAGGCCAAGGCCTCACAGCTGTGCACCCTGCAAGAGAAAAGCAAGGGCTTCACATTACTGAGGAAAGAGAGGCTCCAGAGAGCTGTGTGAGCCATCTGAGGTCACACGGTTGGTGGTCTGAGAGTGCTTCCTGGAGTTTCCTTCTTGGTTAAGCTATTTGGCCACTGAGCTCTGGCCTTGCCTGCCACTTAAAGCTATTACCTAACCAGAGAAAAAGGCATTTCTCTAGAAATGCAATATGCACTCAGTCCTATGGGTTCAACAGCCAACTTTTCACTTAAATTATTTAGTATTTTCTTTTTGTCTGCTTATGATGCTCTCCCAGTGTGGAGCCAGGTGAACTCTGAGAGCCTTGTCTTCTAGCCACCGTCCTCCCTCTGGCCAGCAATGAAGTCCACAGTAAAAAATAATGATCAAGGCACACAGCAGATCTGTTCTTTCTAGTAATCATAGATGCATTTGTAGCTCTCATCAAATTCCAGTATGGACTGAGCAACACTATTTCAAATGCTGGGCCATGAATGTCATGGCAACACCCTCCAGCATCCTCAGAACAACCAATAGCAAACACGACTTAAATTGTCTCTTTGGGAAATAGCCATGAAGTTGGGGGTACATGTAAAATTTCTCTGAGTCCCGGCAGGCTGATTCCCAAGACATTTGTCCCTATTCCCTGATTCTCTTGAATGGCTTTGTCCCTTTCTTTTTCTCCCTAGCGTGTAAAGGAAAAGAAGGATTTACAGCATCAGCAATTTATCTGCAATAAAAAATGAAACCTATTTTAATGCATTAATAGTGAAAGAGGCTGAAACATGCCATAAACATAAAATTACACAAGTTGAATATTTCAGAGGAATAACAAGTGAATGACAGAGGCCACAGGTGACCACAGAGTGATCCGATCTTTATTTCTCCATCAAGTTAGTGTAATAATCATTACTGTTTGTTGAGCCAGCCACTGTGCTAGGCATTTTGCCTAACACTATATGTCTATCATTTCATTTCAGACTCCCAACAACCCTAAAATGTGGATAGGATTAATATTCCCATTTTACAGATGAAGAAACTGAGACTCAAAGAGGTTAATTGATCTGCTCAAGATCCAAGGAAGCCAGGGCTCAAAACTAGATCCTATTTTCAGGAGACTTGCATGTCCCTTCCCCTCTTTCCTTGTGAACTTGCATCATCAGTGAATAGGTATGTTAAATTTCTCAGAGCTGATGGATCTACCTTTCCTGAGGGCTTCACATGCAGATCTTCCTGGCACAGAGTCACAGAAGCCAGAACACAGATTTCTTTCAGAGTTAGCTATCAGCAGAGATTTCTGCAGCTTGATCCCATTTATATATATGTGCCAAGAAGAGAACCGGTGATTTTCTGAAGACTCAACAGCAAGATAGATGCCCTAAGAGAAGGGGTAGACTTGTCAATTTGAAATAGCTGCAAGTTGTGAAGCTCAAAATTATACACTATACAAAAATGAGCAAGCTGGTCATTAGGAGAAAGTTTTAGGAACAACATCCCTTCCAGGCTGGGGAGAGAAAAACATACAAACCAAAGTTCCTGTGATTGAGACTGTAATTCTTCCCAGAGATGCCTTCGTAAGCATCATGATTTATCCAAATGGACAAGAACCAAACTACCCTCGCTGCATCCATCGATTCTTACAGTTAATTCTTTAAAAGAGAAAGTGGCAGGAGGTCAATAAATGCACCTGGGTTCTGTGGAAACAGGGACCACAAATGCTCCAACAAGAGACAGAGAAGAGGTGGAGAGAAATTTGGAAGATGGTTTGTCTTCAGGGAGACACCATGAATCATTTACTTCTCGGCCAACTTTCTTAGAGTGTACAGCTGATGGCAGTTTGTTGGCATGTCTCTTTATAAAAGAACAGGACCCACTGCTAAGAAGGAAGTACAAAAGGGTTCATTGGAGACATCAGCAGCCTACACCAGACCCAAGATTGCTGAGGCAGATATTATCTTGAAAAGGCTGCCTCCTCAGAAGGTGAGCACCTTCTTTGAGTATGCAGCCTCCCTACCAAGGCTTCCCTGAAATTGAGAAAGACTATTCTAAGGTAGACTGGTCAGCTGGTCCATAAAGGGTCCCCTGTGCACCCCAGCCCCAATTTGGATCTGGTTCCACAGTGGACTGCGTGGTCATCCAGGAGCACCAGGCCTTGGTCGCCACCTCCACCACCACCACCCTATACATTTTGCAATCAGGATTTCATAGAGATACAGATTACTATGTTGTTTCAGTCCAGTACATCTTAGTGTACAAGTTTTGGGACTAGACTGTCAGGGTTCAGGTTCTGACTCTGTCACTTACACTTACATGCCCTTGGCAGAATATTTAAGCTCTCTTTGCTTCAGTTTTCTCATTTATGAAATGAAGGTAATATTATTTACCCCATGGGACTGTGAGAATTCAGGAGAGGAGTGTCAACTTGTAACACAGTGTCTAGAACATAGATTTCATTCCACAAATGACAGTCATTCTTCTTACAATCGTTAGTTTTACCCATTTAAATTACCATGTGTCCTAATCTAATGTGTTTCAGGCACTCTCTTTTTGTTTCTTCTCCTTAGAATAAAATGCCAGAAAGAGTTAGGTCCTTGGCCAAAAACTTGTCTGTCTTTAAACAAAAAAATCAAAGGACTAGGTATCAGGAAACCAGGTGAATAAACTGGATGCTTGTGCACCCCTCAAATTCAGATTAATTCCTAATGCCCCATGTGATGATATTTGGAGGTGGAAACTTTGGAAGGTGATTAGGTCATGAACTTGGAGTCCTCATGAATGGGATTAGTGTCCTTATAAAGAGAACTCAGAGAGGTCCCTCTCTATGACAGGACATAGAGGGACTACAGTTGTCTATAACCCAGGAAGAGGGCTTTCACTAGACACCATCTAACGGCACTTTGATTTTCAACTTACCAGCCTCCAGAACTGTGAGAAATAAAATGTATGTTATGTATAAGCCACCCAGTCTGGAGTATTTTGTAATAGCAGCCCAAGCAGACTAAGACACCAGGTTTAGATTCTGCTTGTAACTTACAGTGTGACTTCCCTTTGCCAACTTGCTTGTCTATTAAACGGGCATAACAACTTTCCTATCTTCCTGGGCTATCCTGAGGATAAAATAAAAACACAGATCTAAAATACTTTGCAAATTCAAAAGTTATATACAACTAAGAGGCATCTTTGTATCTACATCAACTTTTATCTCCTTGTGGCTCACCCAACTTCAGCTTACCCCGCCAAGATCCTGCATCCAGAACCTCACTCTGTTGTTTGCTCTTGCGCTTATCTTTTTGTTTTGCTATTTGTTCCTCAGTGTTTCTTCTTCCAGACAAGTCATGACTTGGGGCTCTTGCTGCTTCCAATTACCTAGAAAAACATCTTTCCGCTTTTCAGCAAGCATGATGGCTGGAGCACTGATCTGTCAGTTAGATTAGTCAGGTGCCCTCTAGAGGGAAACCTGAAAGTTCTTACCATTTCTGGTTTACACATAGCTCACTTTCTAAATGCAGTGTGGCTCCATGTTCAGACATCTCCTTGGATGTGAAGGGCTCAAAGGCTCCTCAGGCAGGGAACTGAGCATCACTGAGCCACAGTCCCCGTGTCCCATGCATCCTCAGGAGGACCAATTCATGCACCTTGAATGCCCTGGACTCTCTCAAGGGCTCCTGTCCTGAATCTTGCATTGTAACAATGTCTGAATTACTGTTTGCCATCCACTGTAAGCCAGGGTTCTGCACGAACTCAGTACTCAGCACTTGTGTTTCTTCTTATGATCCTGCATGGAATATAGAGCATATGTGGAATGTGGATGGTGGAAGATGGTAAAGATGGGAGGGTACAGAGAATAGGTGGAAGCCGTGAAGAGGAGGTGAGGTTAGAAAAGTTACCAGTGTGCCATTTGGATCCTTGAGCTGAAATCCCAAGCAGAGAGTCTGTCCCCATATCTGCAAACAACCCTCTGCTAAGAATTAATTTCAATTTTCACCAAGTTGGCAACTTACTCCTTTTTGCAAGGGGTTGCCGAGCATGGTGTATAAATAGCTAAGTGGGAAGTAGAAGGGCATCTCCTCTTTTCTACACAGCCTCAAGATAAAAAGCAGATGAGAGGGCACTGCCCCTTCCCATTTATAAGGCAGCTGCCACCAAAGCAAAATATACTCCCTCCTCTCCCTTCCAAACTAAACTGTAGTGTGTCAAACAGATGAATAAGAAGAAAAGTGGCAATTTTCCTTTATGTTAATAAATTGCTGTGGCCTAAAAAACATTAATCAATTTCTTTCCAAAGCACACACACTTCTCCATACTCTTGCTATTTCCCTGGCCTTGAAAAGAAAGTTACTTTCAATCCCCTTTAAATTGTCAAGACTAGTGAGGGCAGTCACAAGGAGGGAGTGGGGAGCTCCCTAAATCCCAGTGATTATAATGGAACCCTGCTGTGTTTCCATAGAAACGTAAAGAGTGTATTCTTCCCTAATTGTAGATGGTGGGGTGGGGTGAGGAACGATGCGGCTGGTAAGGTGTGCAGCTACTGAAGAGCTGAAGGTGGAAGCAAGGAGCTGAGACTGGAAGGCAAAGGACCCAGTAAGGGAAAGTGGAGTGGGCTGAGATCGTGCTCTGTGTGCAGTGACTTTACCTGTGACTGCGCCCCATCTGCACAGCCAGCCAGCGAGGTAGCTAGTGTAACTCCCAAGTTAACTGAGCTGTGGAGAGAGAAGAAACTTGCCCAGTCAGGAAGTGCTGTAGCATCAATTCAAACCCAAGAGTGTTCACCTCTGGGGCCTCACTCCACCCTCTTTATTGGGCTGTGCTTCAAGTTGTGACAGTGAGAGAAAGTTTCCATCTCCTGGTCTTTTCTACCCAGGCCTACCAGTTCTATACACATTCTGGAATCACCCAGGGAATTAATATCATTTCCTTTTTCAGATGGGGGCTCACTCTGTCACCCAGGCTGGAGTGCAGTGGTGCACTCATAGCTAATTGTAGCCCCAATTTCCTGGGCTCAAGTGATCCTCTCACTTCAGCCTCCCCAGTAGCTGGGACCACAGGGGCACATTACCACACATGGCTAATTTTTTATTTTTTGTGGAGACAAGATCTCGCTATGTTGCCCAGGCTGGTCTCAAACTCCTGGCCTCAAGCAGTCCTCCCACTTGGGCCTTCCAAAGTGCTAGGATTACAGGCGTGAGCCACCGTGCCTGGCCTATTTTTCTTAAGCAGATATTAGGATGCATGTAAATCTCATCAAACTCAGGTGGTTTGTTGTCATCGTTTGTTTATTTGAATTATGAAGTCAGAGACACTTTACATATAAGGGGAAGAAGGCAGCTGGTGCATGTGTGTGTTTACATAATTTAGTAGAAGCATATGGGTGAAAAACTGTAAAGCAGGAGGAGTTGAGAGACATAAGAATCTTTTGAAAGCAATTGTTATTTAATCACCTATCTCAAACACTTTAGCATTCACATCTGTCTAACTTACTGTAGTGTTCCTGGAACCTGGTACAGTGTCAGGCCAAGAGCAGGATGGACTGATGATGGATGGAATGTTTTGTACCGGAAAATCATAGACTCATAAAATCCTAGAGGGTGTACACACTCTCGTTGGTTCCATCTGGTACTCTATGATGAAGACTATTTTTCTGCCACAGTAGGGAGGGCAGGGCTATTTCAGGAGCTAGGAGCATTGTGAATACAGATGTTCCCTATCTGTGAACTATGTGTGTTCCCAGTGCTAGAGGGGTGAGAATCAGAGCTTGCAACTCACCATTTTAAAGTCCTTCCTTGCTGCAATGCAGAGGTTGCATAGGCTCTTGATCCATTTCCTTAGATTTCCACTGAGGAGAATGAGGTGCAGGTAGTGCAGACAGAAACCCACTCCACCCCACCCCAGACAAACAAGGGTACAGTATTGTCTTGTTATGATTATATATATATATGTCTGTGTGTGTGTGTGTGTTCTATGTGTGTGTGAGGGCTAGATAAAAAAAATAGATGACAGAGAGAGAGAGATAGTAGATGATGGATAGATTCTAGATAGATAGATGACAGACAGATTAATGATAGATGATAATGATAGATGGTAGATAGATGATAAATACATGGTTAATAGATGATAATAAATAGATAATAGGTGATACATAGATGATAGATAGATAGATAGATAGATAGATAGATAGATAGATAGATAGATAGATAGATAGATAGATTTTCATCCATGGTTCCTGGCTCATAACTCCCATAGCCCTTGTTACAATCTTTTGTTATAATGTTGGGTGAGTTAGGCCTCAGGAGCAGGCATCAGGAAACAGAATCTCTCTCTCTCTCTCTCTCTGACCTTCTCCTGTCCTCCTATCACCTGCCTAAGGCAGGACTCTAATCCGATTATGGGTCAAGAGACTCTGATTCCAGAGTGGGTCCTGCCCACTCCCTAGAGGAAGTAGAGGCCGAAGCCCCCACACTTTGCCCCATGCATCCCTTTGTCTGTATCCTTTGCAATATCCTTTATGATACACCAGTAACTTTAAGTGTTTCCCTGAGTTCTGTGAGCCACTCTAGCAAATTTATCAAACTCAAAGAGGGGGTTTTGGAAACCCCAACTTGGAGCAAGTCGGTCAGAAGTTCCAGGGGCCCGGACTTGTAGGTGAGGGGAACAAGGGGGGGCGTCTTGTGGGACTGAGTCCCCAGTCTGTGGAATCTGGTGTTATCTCTGGGTAGATAGTGCTGGAACTGAATTGGAAGATACCCAGTTGGTGGCCACTGCTTGGTAGTGGGGAGAAACTTCCACACATTTGGTCATAGAAGTCTTCTTCTGTGTTGATGACTGTTGTTGTGGTATGAGAGCAGAGAAAAAAACATGGTTTGAGAGCTTTTCCTGAAATAGAGACTCCTGAAATAGAGAGTCATTATGTGAGTCTGTGAATACCTCTGCCCACTGGCCTGGCAAATCCTGAGCTTTGGCTAGAAGGTCTCTTAACAGCTACTGATGCCAGAATTAACTGAGGACACAGAGTCACTGGATTAGCAGTGCCAGGAGGCCAGAGAGATTGTCTGCATACCATTCCTTCCTCAGTAGCCAGAACAGGGCCTGCCACACAGAAGATGCTCATTTGTCAAATGACTGGCTGAATATTTGGTACCTACTCTGTGCTGTGTGTTGTATATGCACATAGAATTTAAGCTTCACTGAGATCCTTTGTGTAGGTACTACTTATTTTGCAAATAAGGACACAGCAGACTGGAAGTGGGAAATGACCTCCCCAAGATCTCACAGTAAAACTCTGGAGCTTTGCTTTAAAAAACATAGCCTGGGTTTCATCCATTATACAGATCATCCAGCCAGGATTATGGCCCCATTGAGGGCCAGGGAAAACAGAATGAGAAGGGATATAAGTGGAGGAGAAGAAAGCCTGGATGAAAAATAAAGAAACAAAAAAATCAGACACCCTTACCTGGTGCTCCTTAAGAACTAACACCTTATCAGTCTGGCTACAAAGTGGGCCTTCTCACCCCTCTGACTCTTCAGCCCTGCCTCTTCCATTTCAGAATGCTAGGGGCAAGGCATCCTTTGGAGCTTCATTTTTCATGCATGGCAACAGCGGCAACATGCCTTTGCAGCAGCACTAACTGGGGTCCCCAGCCCTGGGAGGTGACATGGGGATAGTAAGCAAGGGTAGATGTCCCTTTAATGACAGCTGTTTTTCAGAACTTGCAGGTATAAAGGCATTGGCCAGTCATGCCACTTCACAAACCAACATGGGGTCTTTGGTCTTCCAAATGCAACATTTCATTCTCCTCCTGGCTATCCAAGGAGAATGCACTGTTTTCATGATCACATTTCCTCTACTTTCCACCCTCCCACACTAGCTCCTTATCCTTGGGCCTTCTGAGACCCCTGATGTCAAACCAGGTAACAAACACATCGAAAAGCTTAAGAGCCTTCTTATAAGCATCTTGGCACTGAAAACTCTTCTGTAAGTAAATCCTCCTTATGGAGGAAAGTGGACAATTAAGGACAGAAGGAACCCATGCTCAGCCCACAGGGATGTCTAAGAGGATTTGTTCTTTCTGGCCCAGCTCTCTGGGTTCTGGGGAGGGTTAGCCAGAGTGAGGAAGCAGGCTGAGAGCCCCTGAGGCCTGCTGGACTGACTCCCAGACATGCAGAGGCCACAGACAGCATGAGCACCCACTCCCCACAGGCCAGGCTTCTGCTCAACTCCTATCTCCCATGACCTCAGAGACCCCTGGTCTGCATTTCACTTTTACTTAGCGGATGTTTATGATAATCAGCACAGGACAATGGAGTCTGTATATTAATGACACTAAAACACACAAGTAAAATAGCCTACAACAACAACAAAAAAAAGAGGTTGGGAAATGTCCATCCATCAGTAGAGGAATATTTAAATACATCATATTGAGGAATACTACAAGGCAGTCTTACATGTAAACCTCTCCAAGATACATCTTTAAGTTGGGATGCAGTTCAAGGAGCAAGGCATAATATATTGGTAGGAATAATGTTAACGGCTTGATGATAGCTGTAATAGGAGCTAACACAGACGGAGGACTTAGTGCATTGCAGGCACTACTCTTAGCACTTTGTTTATATTATCTCAGTTTACACACATTATTTCCAAAGAAAGCCTTTGAGATAGGTGCCAATATTACCTCCATTTTACAGATGATGAAACTGAACTGCAGTTTTCTTGTACATTCCTCTGTATTACTTAAATCTTTTAATAATGAGAGTTTTCGTGAAGAACACATTTAACAAAAACCATTAATGGTTAAGAAAGAAACTGGAGCCAATATTTATAGAACACTTGCCATCAGGCTGCCATGCTACGTGTCTCACTGACACTTAGTAACGTCCCTGTGAGGAAGGCATTACATGTTCCAATTCAATCAATGAAGAACTAGAGGTTCAGAGAGGTGGCATCATTTTCCCAAGCTCAAACAGCCAGTAGGTACCTAAGGATCTGGAATTTGATCCCAAAACTCATGGTCTTCCATGTTAGTTAGGGCTGAGTGATGCTAAATCAGCCTGTGCTTATTCAAATTTACTTTACTTCCTTCCTTTCTGTTTTTCAGTGTAGAGTATGATTTCCGGCAGCAGGAAGGCAGGTTCCATGAAGTTCTACAGAGTCTGGAGGAAGCAGAGCCAGTTGAAGAGGCATCACCTCCACCAAAGTCCTCAGCAGAACCCTCAGTCCCGGAAAAGCAGGACTTAAGGCGGAAAACCAAGAAGGTGAAAAAGAAATGCTTCTGGTGGATCTGAGCTGGTTGTGACCATCCCCCAGCCACCTGCTTACTTCCCTGAGATGGGAAATCCACTGCACTTAAGGACTGCCCTGCTTCTTTGCAAAGTCTCTGGGCTCTGAGCCCCTTAGCCTGTGAAACAGAAGAGTCTTGGAGCTGATGTAGCCGCTGCTAGAAACCTGACCACCATCCTTAACCTGGGTGTGTGCCACTGCTTGCTGAGGGCTTCACAGACACTAGAGTGACCACTTGCCAAGTTCCCTGTCCACTCCGCCAGACCTCATGCTGAGTTGCAAGTCCAGATTCCCACCATGAGCAAAACCCTCTACTACATATTCCAACACCTCCACGATGCCAATAAGTACTTCCTTCCCATCTTGGGTTCATCAACCCAAAAGAAAAAAAAAAGCGTTGTGCAGATCCAGAAGATAGAGGGAGGTTTAAGTTATTAGCAGGTACCCTAGAAAAAATATGAGATAAACTGGCAGTTTTCTAAGATATCAGATAACATAAGCACAAGAAAAGTAGGCAGGACATAAAATGCAAGATCACCCTGGTGTGTTGGGTTGTTTTCCTTTTTAATTAGCCCCTTGATCCCAAATCAAGCCTCTGTCATCTCATGCGGTGAGCACCTTTCTGCCTATGGCAGAGTCAGGTGACCCCAGGGTTCAAGGACTTGATGTGGCTGTGCTGGACAACTGTAATTCAAAGAGAATTTCAGCAGTTGTAGCTGCTCCAGGGCCCACCATAAACCAGCATCCTTCTGGGGCCTGAGACCACCTGGCAAATGGGTAGAATCTGTTTTTGGTGTGACCTTTAAGACTCCACAGTTAACTTACCTGCAACATTTAAAATCATGAGATCCAGCAGCCTGTCCATCAATTACATCTTAAGTGTAACATAAATAAGGTTAAGATAAAACACAACACTGTTCTCATCCCTTCATCCCAGAATCAGCCATGTAGATAGGTTCCAACATGTATTAATCGACACAGTCTCCCTTCCTGGTGATCAGGTCATGGTCACCTGACTGATAAAGCAGCAGGACTAGGAATGAGGATATAGTTTTTCCATTTTAGTTTTAAATATCTTTCTATCCCAAAGTCTGAGTTCTTCGAAGTCTGGCTCATTCTTTTGACAAGACCTACATACATATGGATCCAGTCAAACTTGCATGGCTGAACAAACATCTACAGTAATATAATTAAGTAATTGCTACATACTCTTGGGAATGAGGGATAGGATGGATAGCCTCAGATTCCTTCTGGTTGAATTAAATTCTCTATCAGCCTGTGGTGAGATTGACACTGCTAGCAAACTAACCTAAAACTAAACATACATTAAGCGCAGAAAGTATTTTGTAATCCCCTTTGCTGAAGACCCAGTATATAAGCCAGAATCTTTGCAGAGCACAGCAGCCTGTGTGTTCATGGGATGTACGTACCCCACCACAAATTGAAACTAATTGAGCAAACCACTCTGACGGTTTCACCTTCCCCTGTCACAGCGATGCACTGCACAAAGCTATTTCAGTGAGAATGAAAGGGAAATTTGGCAAGGAATCTCAGCTTGCACTATTTAAGTCTTGGAATGTCATTCAAGATGTTCTTGTTCTGTTTCTAGTATAGTGTTTAAGCCCACAGAGACCGGAATATATAACGTCATGTTAGAATTAAGATAAATACACTTGTCATACTTAAGAAGCCACATTTCAATAAGATATGCTACCACTGGCTAAAAGCCACAGATTTATCTTTCTGTATCCATACCATCAACTCTCAGTTGGCCCCAGCATTGGAAAAGAACAGAATAGAGGATAATCCAATAAAGTGAAATCATTTGGGATTTCTTATGTAATTTTATCTTGTAGTAGAGCTTCCATCTTAATTTGCTCTGCTTATGCTAATTTCATATGAATTTATATTCTCGGGCATCGTGCTAGAATGTAAATAATCCAGTTCCTAGAATTAAGAGACCCAGGCAACCAAGCAGTCCATCTCACTAACCTTTGGCAAATGGTTTAAATTTCCAGGGCCTATTTATCCATCCTTGAATAGAGATAAGAACATATGCTTTCCTACTTTATAAACTCTGAGCACGCTCCATATTATGTGAGCTGAGTGACTCAGAGCTGAGCTGGATCACCGGCCAAAGCTAGCCTGGCAAGATAAAGAGATGTTTGAGGTATCTCACACAAAATTAATAAGCTCATGTGGTCATAGACATATTTCTAGTTGGGGCCCTCACATGAACCCTTAACTGAATTTAAAAGTGGGACTAGAAAATGTTGACATTTCTAGAAATACAACAAAGAAGGCTATACTGATTCTACACCAAAGCACAACACCACATTGCTTGGGCCACTGACCTGAAACTGCAAAGGAGTTCTCTTCTGAAAATTTGATATTTAAAATTACTATGAGGAAACAGGATTCCAGAAACATTTTCCTGATGAACAAAAATGATCGTCTCTATGTTTAAAACACCATACACACATATACCCAAACTGTATACTCCTTTATTCATGTGAAAATCACTGCTTCTTTGTAAAATATTATGTAACAACTACCATGATATTCTACAGAAATGCTGTACTGGAGGTTATCCGGTTTTCTGGAGAGAGATTAATTTAGCAAATATTACTTTTATAAAATTGAAGGGAAAAAGATCAATACATCGACTTAAATTGCAGGAGTTTATGTAGCTGCTTTCTCTGTAGTTTAAAAAGCAATGCATAAATGCGTATTCACTATCCTTGGAACTTAATACCAGCTCATCTATAGAGCACCTTCTTAAAGACAATGTACTGATGTAAGGTTTTGTAAGTTTCTAAACTGTTTTAAATGGGATATTATCTTTTGCAATAAACGTACATATTTTTTCTAGATTTTAAGACTCCATTACTAGCTTGGGTTGATTTGGGTTATAAAATGTATACTTAAGAAGGATGCCTCAGTGCTCCTAAGGGCGAGTATGGCTTTCATTATCATTGCCTCCATATATTTCTAAGGGAAATAAATACAGAGCAGATTCAGAACTTGGTGTCACAATGATCACATGAAGCCCCATGTGTCCCGTGAGCAAGGGAGGCAGCATGGATCAATGGAGCTGCTCCCAGCCTCATTCCCATGGATGCACATGCATGATTTGTATCATTATGCTCAGACACCTGAACTCTAATTTATTCGGTACTTTTCTTTAATTATTTCCCCCTTAATTTTTTTCCTTAAAAGCCAAATTTATATCACTAATATGAAGAAAAGCAACATCATGTCCTAAAAATAGAAGATGAAATAAAAATATATCTTATTAAGTTCTTACTAAACCCTGTTGCTATTGAGGCTGCTAAGAGACCAGCTCTGTTTGTTAAGACTGGACATTAGCAAATATTCAACACATACGGAAGCCACATTCACACCAAGCCCATTTTCTACATGACTAATCAGGGCGTTTGAGAGAGAACTGAAAAGAGGACAACTTTCCTGTCATGTGATTCAGTATTCTTTTTCCTGCCTTCTCTATGAACCGTCTAAAATCAGCTTGTTTACTGGAGAGTGACTCTCCCGCTTTGGGAAACCCCAATTCACAGAAACAAAAACAAACCCTGGACACAGAATCGGAAGTCTTGGGTTTGACTGCATTCTGCTACCTTCTTGTTGCTGCATGACCTTGAGCAAGTTACTTAGCTTCTGTGAGCCTCTGACATACCCCCTGCCTCTGAAGAGTGCCTTGACAATTGACTAAGTGACAGCCCAGAGCACAGTATAGGGTACAATCAGGCCAGGGGCTCAATAAATGCACATTCAGTCATTTGTGGATTGAAGTAAATTGGGAGAGAGAAAGATACATCCATGAAGCTGCAGTGGTTTTCAGAAACTGGTTTAAGATTTTCTCCAGGCAAGGGAAGAACATCTCCTGGCCTTAGGACATGAGGGCTGGTCACGATGGCTCACATCTGTAATACCAACACTTTGGGAGGCCAAGGTGGGAGGATTGCTTGAACTCAGGAGTTTGAGACCAACCTGGGCAATGTAGAGAGACCCCGTCTCTACAAAAATTAGCCAGGAGTGGTGGCTGGCACCTGTGGTCCCTGCTACTGCAGAGTTAGGAAGATAACTTAAACCCAGGACAGGGAGGCCTGCAGTGAGCTGTGATCACTCCACTGCACTCCAGCCTGAGTGACAGAGCAAGAGTCTGTCTCAAAAAAAAAAAAAAAAAAGGCTCTACCAGAAACCATGACGATGAATTTTAAGTAATAAAGTCCTCTGTGACTCAGAAGAGCACATGGGCACATAAAATACAGCACAGCACTCTGGGAATTAAAGACTCTTGTTGCATGGAATCAAATATCCTAGAGGTGAAAGAGACCTTAAGAGTTAGGTCCCTTCCATTTTAAGCATGAGTCAATTAAGGAAGGCTGGATGATTTGTCCCAGGCCTTATAGCAATCCTGTGGGGAGGTAGGTATTGGGAGCGCTGTGGTGGTGGGTGGAATGTGTGAGGGGCCAGGGCCATTCCAGGAAGCATGAGGCTAGACTTGAAACCCATTCTTACCTTCATTAGCTGAGCTGAGTTCTCAATATAACCTTCACTTGAAAAGGCTCTCATTTTAAGCTGCTCAAGGCAACTTGCTGTATGCTAAAAATGTATTTCTTTTTATAAGTTCCAAGAAACAAAGATGTTTTATGATCACTACGCCCATCAAGCATCGCTTGCAAGAAAAAGTGTGGGGGACAAATCCTAATTCAACACTGCCAGCATTTGGCGCAAACCACTTTTAACCGGTTTAATGAACATAATCCCATTTTTGAGTACTTTCACCTCAACTTCCTCCCCATCTTCTTTTAACCGATTTGCAGCCTAAATTTCCATGGACCACATAATACCACCCCTTCTCCTGAGGTTTTGCAAATGTCTAATTTCTCTCTGCCTCCTACAGAACTCTCAGCCCATAAAGAGCAGGGATGCATCTGTTGGCAACACACAGAGTTTGGCTCTCTCATTGCCAGACTAAGCCAAGTTCTCAGGTAAGTGTGCCTCTCCACTGTGGGCATCCTGTTCTAAACCCACTTTGTTTCTCAACTGGCCTCTGCAGAAACCTCCCCAATGGGTCTCCCCATGTGCACTCTCTCTCTCTTCTTTTATACTTATTTTTTAAATATGTTTTGAAACAGGGTCTTGCTCTGCCACCCAGGCTGTAGTACAATGGCACTACCATAGCTCACTGCATCCACAAACTCCTAGACTCAAGCAATCCTTTCACCTCAGTCTCCCCAGTAACTGGGATTACAGGTTCTTACCACCACAACCTGTTAATTTTTTTTAAATAATTATTTTCTGTAAAGACTGAGTCTTGCTATGTTTCCCAAGCTGGTCTCAAACTTCTGGGCTCAAACAATCCTCCTATCTCAACTTCCCAAAGTGCTGGGATTACAGGTGCATGCCACCACACCCAGCTCCTCTCTCACTTCTTAAGTATCTGCTCCACATAGTAGCCAAAACAATCATTGCAAAATTTGGATGGGAATAAGGTTACACTCTGACTTAGAACCATTCAGTGGCTTCCTGATCTACTTAGGAAGTAAGACCAAGTCTGTTGCTATGGACCAAAGCCCTGCACAACCTGCCCTGCCCCTCCTGTAAATTCCCACCACAGGCCCTTTCAGTGTTTGTCCTCTAGTCTCAGCGAGCCTTCTTGGACCCACAGTGCCTTCAGTCCCTAAAGGCTCCTGCTCTTCCTGCCTGCAATACTTCCCCCATCTACACCACCCTCCCTGTCCAGCCTGCAGCTCTGTTGGAGTTTCCCAGGTCATATCTCCCATGACTACCACCAATTCAGCCCAGTCCATGCCAAATACCCCTCCTTAGACATTTGCCTAGCACAAGGGACCTTGTCATCAAAGACCTTGGCACAGTTCTCCTTGTACATATATCTGTGCCATTCTTTAATCAAGGTATCTCTCTATCTAGCATGTAGTCCTCCTAAGGGCAGAACCTTACTTATTCTTGCTTGCCTTTGTATCTCCAGCATGTACCACAATGAGGTTGAAATATTTGTTGCAGAAATAAATTAATGAGTAAATTGGATTCAGTGGGAAGACACTAAAAATTAATCCCCAGTTTATCCCTTGTCCTTCAGTTCCCATACTGGGATGGTACCCTTAGTGGGTATAGTCCCTAATGGTATATGGTATAAATCTATACATAAAGAAACAATTCTCTCTATGCTCATTCTGCTCCCCACCAAAACCAAAAGGATTTCCAGAAGCTTAAGACTTATCAAATATAAAACCAACATATGTAGACTTAAACAGAATACGTATCTTTTAAATTAAGAGTTTTTGCATTAAAATTATTTCATAGTATATTCCCAAAATGATTGCTGGATTATTTACTTCCTAGAACTAAATGACCTATTACTGTAGTTTTGGTTTATGAATGTATGATTTTTCTTTTTTCTGTTTTGTTCCCAGAACAAATAACCAGTCTTCCCCAAAGAGAAACGTAAGTCCTTGAGGAATAGAAAACAGCAACTATTTTTCTACCTCCACACGATCATGCCCTAGTCTCAGCTCTTTGCAGAAATTAGGGCCTGCAACTGGTAATACGCCCAAGGCTTCTAACTCTCCTGAGGTCTGCATGGCATTTAGGACCCAGGAATAAAAAGACACTAGTGTTTGTCCCCAGTACCCGCCCCAAGACCTACTGATGGCCCAGTTTAACACTGTTTCACATAAACTGTCATCATAATTAAATCCCAATGCATTTTGCACATTTTACCAAGATACCGCCTTACCATATGAAAGAATAAATGAGTTTTGAAATTAAAACAGATTGTTAACTATTTTTCCCTGTAATATTCCTATTAAAGTGCTAGAATTTATTATATGTGAACTAGACCATTCCAGACAAAATGCAATTTCAAAGAGACAAGGTCTAACTAAAGGAACCTTTTGGGCAAAGTTTTTGCCTTGGCTTAAACCACAACAAAAATGAAAAGACAGTAAAATCACACCAAAAGATTATTTGTTCAGAAGCAAATAACAGCTTTATTATCATAAATGGCTTTCACAAATTGTTAGAATCCGTAAGTATGCTATATTAAATTTTACTCAAATGAAACCCATATGTTTGTTCCTGACAAAAACCTTTATTTCTTAAATCATTAGCTAAACAATGGTGACCTTTACTCAGTGCTTTGCCTTGGTTTCCCAGGCAGCAGACACAGTGCTATGATACCCTGGTTATGCTGACAGAAAAGCCTTCTTGCTCATGAACCAAGGGCTGAGTCATGTTAATTGCTGAACTTGAGAGTGATTCACACAGCTCTTCCCCTGAGCACACTAAGCCTGATGGAACTCAATTCCACAGGCAGAAATCACAGATGGATGACTGAGGTGAAGAGAAGTTACTTGCTGTTGTCAGTGTCTTTGGTGTGCTTTTTTGTTTTAGAATAAAAAACAATATACCTTCAGTAATTGAGAGTCAGGGATCAAAGGGAGCAAAATCAAAGCAACACAAAACATCAACACTCATAAATTCAGGCTGCTGACCTGTAGTGAGTTTCAAGGATTGAAGCTCTGCCTCATCTCCACTAATATGCACCCCTTGGGTCAAAAAATCTCAGATGAAACTCAGTCTGTAATCATTTTTTTCAGTAAACAGTCATCAAGCTCCTTATCTCTGCCAGGTGAGGTGCCAAGGACACTGAAGGAAAAATGCAGCGCAGATACCACCCTAGTCCCAAAGAACTCAGAGGCCAGTGGGTAGCTTCTGACAATAAACAGGTATCCTTTCCTGATTTGCCCTACATGAATGTCACATTGCCTCCTTCTGAACCCATCCAAATGCTATCCTTGTATTCTGACATGGTTAGGCTTTGTGTCCCCACCCACATCTCATCTTGAGTTATAATCTCCGGGTGTTGAGGGAGAGACCTGGTAAGAAGTGATCAGATCATGCGGACAGTCACCCTCTTCCCTCCCCTGGCTGTTCTTGTGATAGTGAGATCTCAAGAGATCTGATGATTTTATAAGGGGCTCTTCCCCCTTCACAACTCACTCTTTGCTCTTTCTCTCACTTGCTGCCATGTGAAGAAGGTCCTTGCTATCCCTTTGCCTTTGTCATGATTGTAAGTTTTCTGAGGCCTCCCTGGCCATGTGGAACTGTGAGTCAATTAAACTTCTTTTCTTTATAAATTACCCAGTATTGGGTATGTCTTTACAACAGTGTGAAAACAGACTAATATGGATTCCTTTGTGACTCTTTCTCATTATCTTTCCCCTTTCCTACCATATGTTAAACTCCCTGAGAGTAGGAGCAGCTTTCCTCACCTTGTAATGTCCAAATCCAGGAAGTCCTTTTTAGTTTCATTGAAAGACTTCACCATCGGGAGCCATTGTCTCTTCCACGTGGACCCCTGCACTGGTCTTCTCTTACCATTTTCTACCCCCTCACAAATGCCTGGGGCCTCTCTCTAAGACACACATGTAGCAGTGTCATTCCCTGATTTTTATATCTCTAGTTGCATCCCATTACCATCCTAGAGCATAAAAATTCCTTCCCCTACAAAGAAGGCTCCTTATAATCTAATGCCAACCTAGTGCTTATAGCCTAACTTCCTATTCTACTTCCCCCAACCCCAACTCCTTGCCACTTTCTAAAAAGTCACAGGCTACTACCTATCTGTGACTTTGTACATGCTGTTCCCCCAACCAGTGACACTATTCTATCATGTATCTAGCACAGGAAATGATTTTAATTTAGGGGAAAGAAAAGGAGAGTAGAGTGATAATAAAAACTCTAGTTTCTTAAAGTTACAATGAGCTATTACTATAGGCTTTGCTTATATTATCTCATTTGTTCTTCAAAAAATTACCACAAGGTATTTTCTAATTACTCCCATTTTCTAGAAGAATAAATAGAGGCTTAGGGGGAGATAAGCAATCTGTCAGAGTCCACAGGTAGGAGGTGGTGAAGGCTGGAGTTCTTTCAAGGTCTGACAAACTTAGGAGCCTGGGCTCTTAACTCCGATGCCAGACAGCAAGTTGCAATTTAAATGTCACCTCCTCTCTGTAACTTTTTCTTACCATCCCCCGCCACTGCCGTGGAATTAGTCACTCCATCCTCCAAGTACCCACAGCATGTTGTGCAGGCTGCCACTTTTCATGTCATACCAACATTTCTTTTGTCAATCTCTCATGCTCATCTCCACCAGAAAGAAAGTCCCGGAGAGACAGAATTGTCATTTCCATCTCTGAAACTCTCCAAGGGCTTCTCAATTTGCCTGAGATTCTGTAAATGCTTTTGTATATGTCTGTTGAATGAATTAGGAGACTATATGAAAATGGAGAATATAGAATAATGACCAGCCTGACCAACATGGTGAAACCCCATCTCTACTAAAAATATAAAAATTAGCAGGGTGTGGTGGTAGACACCTGTAATCCTAGTTACTTGAGAGGCTGAGGCATGAGAATCCCTTTAACCTGAAAAGCAGAGGTTGCAGTGAGCTGAGGTCATACCACTGCACTCCAGCCTGGGCAAGACAGTGAGACTCTGTCTCAAAAGAAAGTTTCAGTAAGTTTGACTGTCTCATTCCTATTTTAAAAGAAATTGTATTAAAGTTATTTTTCCTGATTATAAAAGGAAAGCAAAATGATTTTTTTTTAAAGTAAAACTCCCATTAAGGACACATGAACACAGGGAGGGGAGCATCACACACTGGGATCTGTCGGGGGGAAACAGGGGAGGGACGGCAGTGGGAGGGGAGTTGGGGAAAGATAGCATGGGTAGAAATGCCAGATATAGGTGATGGGGAGGAAGGCAGCAAATCACAATCCCACGTGTGTACCTATGCAACAGTCTTGCATGTTCTTCAAATGTACCCGAAAACCTAAAATGCAGTTTAAAAAAAAAAAGTAAAACTCCAGAAATGTGCAAGTCATGTGCCCTTTAAGCAGAAGATACTAACACAATCTGAGCCTTAGAACATGTTCTGAGCTCTGGGAGATCAAGGCCCTCTGGTGAGGGGCCATATTTCTTTTCCCTCCTTGAACTTCAGTTTCTTCAATGAGTTTATTGTTATTATTGTTGTTGTCATCGTTGTTGTTGCTTCATTCCTGCAACCCTCTCTCTGTATAGAATTCACAGAATAGTCTTGGGTTATTAAAAATTGCCATAAATAGGCTGGGTCCAGTGGCTCAAGCCTGTAATCCCAGCACTTTGGGAGGCTGAGGCGGGTGGATCACGAGGTCAACAGATCGAGACTATCCTGGTCAACATGGTGAAACCCCATCTCTACTAAAAAAAATATAAAAAATTAGCTGGGCATGGTGGCGCATGCCTGTAATCCCAGCTACTCAGGAGGCTGAGGCAGGAGAATTGCCTGAACCCAGGAGCTGGAGGTTGCAGTGAGCCAAGATCACACCATTGCACTCCAGCCTGGGTAACAAGAGCAAAACTTCGTCTCAAAAAAAAAAAAAAAATTGCCATAAATATCACTTAATGGCTGCAAAAATGCATCACTGCATGAATGTAGCATAAATCTAGAAAAATCAGTTCTGATTTTGAAGGATCATTGGACAGAATTGACTCCTTTGAGTCACTTAAGGTCAGTGCCCTGGACAGGGGTGATGGGGCTGAGATTTGCGGAGAGCCTATTTCATTAGCAACTGTTCCATCATGGTTTTCCCAGGGGCAGTGTATTAGTCCATTTTCATGCTGCTTAGAAAGACATACCTGGGACTGGACCATTTACAAAAGAAAGAGGTTTATTGGACTTACAGTTCCACTTGGCTGGGGAGGCCTCACAATCATGGCAGAATGTGAAAGTCACATCTCACATGGTGGCAGACAAGAGAGGAGAGCTTGTGCAGGGAAACTCCCCTTTTTAAAGTCATCAGATCTCATGAGACTTATTCGTTATTAGGATAGCAGTACAGGAAAGACCTGCCTCCATGATTCAATTACCTACCACCAGGTCCCTCCCACAATATGTGGGAATTCAAGATGAGATCTGGGTGGGGACACAGCCAAACCATAGCAGGCATTGTCAGATCCTCAACAACATCCCCAGGGAAGGACACTCATGATGGGATTTCTCCTTCCAGCGTAGTTCCAGGCCTTCACAGAAGACACAGGGTGCCTCATAGAGGCTTTCTTCATAGCCCAGCCATAGCGACAGCTGGATATTACTTCACAAGTCCAGAAAAGATCTCAAGACAGGGCTGTAAAACAGTTTGTAATCTTACTCCTGACATCTGTGTCAAAGTAGGGAGAGGACAGCCCACAAGGGGAATAATAATAGCTATTAATTACCAAGGGCCTACTATGTGTTAAGCCTTGTACAGTGAGCTTCACACATGTTTTAATTGGGTCTTTACCACAAGCTTGGCAGGTAATGACCATTACTAGCCCAACTTTATATAGAAGCAAAATGAGAATCTGCACTGTGAAGAGACTTTCTAGCTGTAGAATGAAGGAGCCTCCTCCCTCCTTGAGGAAAAGAGGACACCGGCTCCCAGCCTGTCAACTCCTTTCAAGCAGCATAGCTTGTCCCCAATTCCACAGCACTTAGAAAGCAATGTCAGGGATGGAGGTACCTGCCAATGCCCAAATGGCAGATATGCTGTTTCTCAAGTCTCCAAGAATAAGAAAAAGCTGGCCTCTCTTTCAGTGCCAGGAAATAGGACAAGAGATACAGTGGAGTCTTACCTTTAATAACACACTTAAAATCACTTGTCCCAAATCAGATTTGTCTAGCCCCACCAACAGAAGCTGAAAGGCACCAAGATATCTG